CTATCAGGATGCCACCCACTTCTAATTTTAAGCTGGCTCAGGTAAGCCTGTTTATAACGTAATGTAATAATCTTCACTTTTGCTTTTCTTATATCAGAATTTTGGAAAACTGATAAAAAAGCAAACAAACTGAAAACCGCCAACTGTCTGGTGGATATTTGAAGATCACTTCTTGCACTCAGACTACATATGAAAAGAATCGACCCTTCACATTTAGACTGAGAAATTACTCTAGTCCTATTGAAACTCTTTCTGCATCCATCAACATTCTTCTGAAGTTTCTTTTTCCCCAAGAGGAAGCTTCCAATTTCCTTTAAATGAAATTTACTGTCAGCTTGTCAAACCCAAGTTTTCTGTTGTGATACCACACTGGCTTCTATCTATGGGGCTTGACTCTTTCCTGCCTGCAGTTCAGTTTTCTGGAGTTCACATTTTCTTTGATGGGATAAGTTTTGTTTCCAGTCCTTTCTCTGTCTTCCAACTGGGACCTATTCACACTACACATTTATCGTGCTATTATGCCACTTTAACTACCATGGTTCCATTCTGTGGAATCATGCAATTGGTGGTTTAGGGCATTTCAAAAGGAAGATTTTGGATGGGCTTTCAGAAGCTACAGAATAGACCTTTGGTCCTATACACCTCCCCCCCCCCCATTGCTTGCAAAAAGTATCTGTACGTCCCTAACAGGATTCAAGCTCTCCTCTCTCTATTATTTATTTATTTATTTATTTATTGTAAAGAATATTTGCAAATGTTCATGTCTTCAGTGAGACAGGATGTTTTGACATACTTGGGGTGCATCTACACTGTAGGAATAATGCAGCTTAACACCATTTTAAGTGCTCTCCCATCTTATGGAATCCTTGGATTTGTAGTTGTATGAGATCTTTAGCAATCTCTGCCAAAGAGTCTTCCAAAGCTACAAATCCCACGATTCTGTAGGATGGTGCCATGGCAGTTCAAATGGTGTCAAACTACATTATTTCTACCATGCAGATGCACCCTGAAACATTCCATTGTGGAGAAAAAATGGTCAACTGTGGTGAGATTGCATACATTTTAAGAAAACCCTATCTGTACAAACAACATTGTCTTGGTGCAAAATCCAGTTCAAAATGGTGTCTTTTGCATGTAAGATCTCCCTTCTATTTTTTTAAAAAATTAAAATGTCCAATGCAACCAATTGATTAATAGTTTCACTTGGGACATACTATTGATTCAACAACTCCATTTTTAATGCAGAAAAAGGAAACCTTTAAAGCAATCCTTTTGAAGTTGAACTCTATTCACAATGGCACTCCATCATTATAGTTATGACTGGCAATGTTCCCACCCCCAAATTTCCTCATCTGTACAAAAAAAACATTGTCTTGATGCAAAACTCAATGCCTTTTGCTCAAAATGCACTGTCTCTTGAATGTAAGATCTCCCCCCTCTGTTTTAAAATGTCTAATACAACCAATTTCTTAACATTCAAAGATATAGCTGTGTTAGTCTGTAGAATCAGTATGTAGAGAGATCTTGTAGCACCTTTGAGATTAGCTGAAATAAAGCAGTAGACTGTAGTCTACGAAAGTTCATGCTGCCAATTTCTTAACAGTTTCACTTGGAACACACTCCAAATCCAATAGCCCCACTTTTATGCAGAAAAAGGAAATCTCTAAAGCAGTCCATTTGATCTGGTGATCTGAAGTTCTACTCTATTCATCATGTTATAAACCTTGGCCAAGATCCTGTACTTGTCATCATAACCATGATGTGGAGTGCCATTATTATGGTTATGAGTGGCAGTGCCCACCAAACTAGATTTCCTAGTGGGCAGTGCCCCAATTGAAGGATTTCTGAGGTGCTGGAGATTGAGGCACTGGGATATTGAACTCTCCAGCATGCCCTTGGGCATGGGATGCCTTTAAAGCTTTGGGTTCAAGATTACTCTCCATTCCAGATCCAGCTGAGTTCATCTTTGGCCGTTCACACTACTTGTCATCCAACCCATTGCATCTGTAGCACACTGAACTACAAACAACAGCCATCCATTAATGGAACTTTGGTTATCACTGTCACCGGAGCAGGGAAAAAACACAGTAAAACATCCAGCAGACAGCTCAGATCACCACCGTGTGCCAGGATGATAAGTAAGGAGCAAAATTTAGTCCTGCTTAATCCAAGATTTTAGGGTTGCTTGGCAACAGGGAAATAGCTGCTTGAGAGCCCATCAGAAGAATTATTTCCTTGTTTATATTGTCTGTACACAGTGTGCAGTAAGCACTTTCTGACAAAGCAGTGTGCAGAGAAACCAGAGAAACTCTCCCAGGAAAACTTTGCTAATTATATTGAAATGCTCTGGAATTCGCTCAGGGTGCTTCCATCGGTGTTCACCCGAACAAGACCCTGTCAACTGGCCTCAAGTTTCACTTCAGGCTAAATTCATGGGAAACTGTAAGATGTGTTGAACCATCCTGAGAAAGCCCTTTTATCTTCTTAAAAACCACTCACCTTCCCCTCCTATGTCTATAAATGCTTCACCACTAATTTTGCTTCAGGTAAAATGTGGTGTCACTTCTAATGTCTAGATTCATATCTTCTTACGCGAGTTCTGCACTAAATCAGCTGTGAGTATAAAGGAACTACTACAACTAGACTAGATTCACAGCTCCGCTGGCATCAAAACCACTGGCCTGCAGGAGAGCCAGGAGGATATCTTAAGATGCTCAGAAGATGGTCTATTAGTAGAAAAGTCCAATGCGTTTCAACCTCTGTGTCCACTTAGGGACCATTTTAAGGCTGTTGTGTGTTTTCAAGTTGTTTCTGACTTATGGCAACCCTATCAAGGGTTTTTCTTTGCAAGATTTGTTCAGAATGGGTTTGCCATGGCTTTCCCCTGAGGCTGAACCATCCTCTAAAGGAATGGTTTCCAACTTTTGGTCCTCCAGATGATTTGGACCTCAAATTCCAGACTGTTGGCGAAGTTGACTAGGGCTTCTGGGAGCTGAAGTTCAAAACAAATGGAGGACCAAACACTGGGAACCACTACTCTAAGTAAATTGTTACCCCATGCGTAGGAAACTGACATGCCATAGGAAGATAGGGAGTTGCCTTACACAGAGTCAAACCTGTAGCCTATCTATTGTCAGCCTGTAGCCCAACTATTGTATATTGTCAACTATTGTCACTGAT